TGTCCCCATGTCCCCACGGTGTCCCCACGGTGTCCCCATGTCCCCACGGTGTCCCCGTGTCCCATTCTGTCCCCGTGTCCCCGCGGTGTCCCTGTGTCCCCATGCTGTCCCCATGTCCCCACGGTGTCCCCGTGTCCCCGTACCCGGTACTCCTTGATCTCCTCCTGCAGGATCTGGTCGGCGTCGGCGTAAACCTCCACCTTGCGCTGCTTCTCCAGCTTCCGGCGCAGCCGCGACAGCTCCTCCTGCGGGGACGGGGACGTTGGGGACACGGAGGGACATTGGGGACACGGGGACATTGGAGACACAGGGGACATTGGGGACACAGGGGACATCCCGAGCTCTCCCAGGGACACAGGGGACATCCAGGAACGTGGGGGACATCATGGGGACACAGGGAACAGCCCAGAGACCCAGGGCTGCCCCATGGGACCCTCCTGAGCCCCACGGGACCTCCCAGACCCCCTGGAGGACCCCCAGGAACCCCAAGAACCTCCAGGAACTTCCAGGAACCTCCTGGACCCCCAGGAATCCCCAGGACCCCCAAGGAACCTCCAGGAACCTCCCAGGACCCCTAGGAGCCCCCAGGAACCTCCTGGGACCCCCAGGAATTTCCAGGAACATCCTGGACCCCCAGGAACCTCCAGGAACCCCAAGAACCTCCAGGAACCTCCTGGGACCTCCAGGAGCCCCCAGGACCCCCAAGAACCTCCAGGAACCTCAGGGGACCCCCAGGATCCCCAAGAACCCCCAAGAACCTCCCAGGACCCCCAGGAACCCCCAAGGCCCCCAGGAACCTCCCGGAACCCCCAGGAGCCCCCAGGACCCCCAAGAACCTCCAGGAACCTCCTGGGACCGCCAGGAACCTCCAGGAACCTCCTGGAACCCCCAGGATCCCCAAGAAATCCCAGGAACCTCCAGGACCCCCAGGAACCTCCCAGAATCTTCAGGAGCCCCCAGGATCCTCCAGGGACCCCCCGGAACCCCCAGGAACTCCCCAGGAACCTCCCAGGACGCCCCCAAGACCCCCAGGAACCTCCCAGA